CTACAAACAAATAATGGAAGTGATAGATTAACATTCAAAGCACTAGCAGCAAGAAAAAACATTCTATGGGCAATACAATATGACCAACATTTAGAAAGACCGAAAACAAATACAAGTCTGCACCAAATTAAGATTATATATACAAACATAAGGAATGATATATTTACAATAAGCTGGAAAGGAAAAACAATCAAACATTCACCAAGAAGATTCATATGGCACATCCAAAACACACAACATATAGCAAAGTAGCAGTCACAAAATAGAAATAACAAATGGGATGAGATCAGAGAGAGTATTGACTGGAAACAATTCTATAACTACATAAATTATAACGAAAGTCCAACATCAAGAAATACCAATCCCAAATACTCACAAATAAAAGCCTTCAAAATAAAGCTATTATTGGATGAACTTCCAGTAGAAGCAAACCTTCACAAACGCTGCCCTAAAAAATACACAACAGGAATATGCAACAGATGCAAAAAAGATCAAGAAACAAACATTCATTAGTTAATATGCCAGAAAAATACAAAACAAATAGAGCAAATCATAGCAACAATGATAACAAAAGTATTAACAAAACAAAAGATACTTACTAAAATTAATCTACAAATGATGTTACAAATATACAAACCAAAGATTAATGAGATAACAGGAGTAAATCCAACATTAACTGTGATAGCAATACAAGAAGTCATTAGCAAAGTCAACAAGATTGGAGACCAATACAAAGGAAAACATAACTTTTTCTGCCACATATCACATAAGATAACAAGTAGCATACATAAAGAAATCTGAATTCACAGATGCAAAGAAGTGACAAAAGTTAGACAAAACAAAGAAAAAACAAGACAAAAGAATATAACAAATAAAAATAACAAGATCGAAACAACAAAACAGAAAAAAGATACAAGTACAGAACAACCAAATCAAGATACTGTGAATGAAAAAGTAAAAAAGAAGTTTGAAAAGTGGTCTCTGCTCTTTCAACAATACAATACATCATTGTCAATTATAGATAGCATCATAGACTAGGTGAGGTTTAGGCCCTACTTAGCAAAGTATGGGTTGTAGATAAATTAGCCTAAGCATTAGTTTTGGTAGAATTAATGTATTACTATATATAAGATTTAGATGACTACATATATTAAATTTCAATAAAGAAACTGAGGCAAGACCTCATTTTTTTTAAAAAAAAAATAAAAAATAAAAAATTCTGTGAAAAGTATACTAATAAAATATGTAATAAACTATCATTTGAATAACTAAAATAAATAAAATATGTTATAAACTATATAAATAAACTAATAATACTATAATATATACAATAATAATATAAAATATATAATAAAATTTAAGAAAAAACATAATAAATATATAGTAAAAATTGCTAATAAAATATAACTAATAAAAATTTATTAATAAAATATAATAATATAAATATAATTAATAAAATAAATACTAATAAAATTTTATTATATTATGATTATATTATAATATACTTAAAAAATCTGTGTCAGGTTTTATTAATTATTGTGTTTTTTTAAATTTTGGTGATCTTATAATGATTTTATTAGATATTTGTTAGCAAATTTATATATATTATTATATATAACCTATTACAGGATTATATACATACTAATACAAAATCTAACTTATCTGGCTATTTCTATATAGGTGTCTAAATATGATTTATCTACACTAGACTGACTTTATAACCAGCCTCTTACTACTATTTTTAGACAATGTTAGAAACTAATTATTAGATTTAAAAGCTTTCTAAACAAAGCTCTTATACCAATTCATATATACCTATTTATTTACTATCTAAATTTTTAATCTTCTATTATTATTATATTTAATTATATTTATGTTTATCACATGTTTCACCTTTTTGTTACTATACAACTTCTAAATTAGTAACTTTTAGATTGTAGATTCTTATGATTTTCTAGTTTGATGTGCTTATTATTAGTTAGTATATGTTTAGAATCTATAAAAGAATTTGTATTTCAAGTTAAGAACTACTGCTTAGTTAGGTTCTTATATAACAGAGTTAATATTATATTATTGAATAAATTCTTCTACTTATTTGCCAGATATTATTAATCTATATTTCAAGCCAGTCTTTACTGCTGCTATTTTCTTTAAATAAATATTTTAGATCTTTTAATTTTCATAATATAGCAACTTATTATATATTTTCAGTTTATACTTTCTTTTATAATAGGGAAACAGAACTTTTATTAGCTATATTCAGAATAATTCTGATTATACTAGGGAGTTTTACTAATTCTGATAATACTATACTATTATATAGTATAAGCTTCTAGCCAAAATATATCATAATATAGGACTATATATAACAACAAAATTATTTTAAGTTTCAGATACAAAATTAAAATTTAAAGACAAAATTGTTTTTGACCTATTTTACTTAAAAGACAAAATTTTTTAATATTTTTTTTAAAAAGATGAAATTATAAAAGAATGTAACTATCTAAATTAGATTTGCTTTTATACTATATATAAAAAAATTTAAATTGCTTTAATGAAAATGAAATAGAGTTTTTTTAAAACCTATTTTGGTAATATATATATAGAATAATTCTAATTATATTTACACTATCTTGATTTCTACTTCTAACATATAGCTATTATACTAAATTTGTATGTACATTATTGTTAATATATTTCTAGATTTTTTTTTGTCTATAAACTTCTATATAGATATAACTATTATCTAATTTAATATCTTTATATATACAAGAAAGTTCAGCCTACCTCAATGTTCTAACTTTTTATAATAATTTTAGTTGGCTATGTTAAAGATACTTCTGCTTCTAGTAAAGCCAATCCTTTATTATAAACTATACATATGTTTATTATTTTTCTTACTACTCCAACTTTGGTTATTGATAACTACCCTTTCAAACAAATATCTGTATCTTTAATTCAAATAAGAACTTATTCACATAGTCTGTTAATTACCCTTCTAAGTAAGCATCATACAAGTTGAATATAAAGATATTAGTACTGTATAAACCAAAAATACAAAGATATTAATGCCTACCCCCATCTATAGATGGGTGTCTAAATTATTTTTGTATTGGCGTAAATTTAAATGGCTAAATTCTTTTAGATTGTCTAAATCGTAAATAATTTAGATTGTCTAAAATAATTCAGACTGTCAAATATTTTAGAGTGTCTAAAATATTTTAATATATCTAAAATATTTTAGTATATCTAAAATATTTTAGTATGTTTAAAATATTTTCATTATTTTAAGATATTTGAATAAAGAAAATCAAATATTTTAAAATTTAATAATATTTTATAATACTACAGTAAAACTGATATCTAATATATTAAAATCTCTGGAATTCTACAATATTTACATATTCATCTACAGTGGATCAAAATCACATGACAGTTAACCAATCAAATGATCTCTCCAGCATAGCCAACAAAAAATCTCGAGTACATAATGATTGAAAATGCGTTTATGTTAGGGTTAACTATACTTTAGAGTTAGGTGTTATCAAGATATAATAGTAAAATTGCCCAAAAAAGGCCTTTTGTTAGAGCGTTAAAAGTAATTTCTTATGAAGATTTTTGAGTTATAAGAAATTTTTGGTAAAATGAATATTTGCTTTGACTTTCCTGATTATGCTATATTACATTAAATAGAGTTTAGCTATTTCATTATATGTCCTTAGGAGTTCCAATCAAATTATGTAATTTTGATCAGATAGGTTAGTTAAAAATGTCAAGAAAGCAATTTTGCTTATATACAGTATAACTACATATATAAAACCTAACCTAATCCAAGATGACCCTAACTCTAAAGGTTAATTTAATAAAATATATATTATATAAAATGACTTTACATATCACATGCACCAATCATAATGTAGTATATTATTGTAAAATATGTCAGTCTTATATATGTTATTTCACAGACATGCATGTTTGTAAAATTATTATATGTAAATACACTTTTAAATATACTATAATATTGGCAGTCCATAATAATATTGGCAGTCTATAATAATATAGGCAGTCCATAATAATATAGGCAGTTTATAATAATATAGGCAGTCTACAATAATATAGGCAACCAAAAATAATTTAAACACATAACATTTTGAAATGCTGTGGCTAAAATAGTAAAAAAATTGCGACAGTACATCTGCCGTAAATCATCTATAATTTAGATACCCATGTATACTCCCATCTCTAAGAATTTATTTGTGCCACTACTATAACTAGAGTCTTTTGTAATACAGCAGTTACATAAAGTACCACCAACTCCACATCTTGGATCTCTTTCTGAAAATTTCTATTCTAGTTACATACTACACTTGAACTTAACCACAGAGCTTTGAATTCAATTTGGCTTCTAAAGGTTATAAAAACAAATATTAAATTTGTTTCCAGCCCAACTTGAACTATCAACCTTGTATATAGAGGTTTGAGAGCTTAACTAATAAGCTATAAGGCCTAAACCCGGATTTGTTAATTATTGTAGTTGATAAAAATTTTTAAATTCATTAATATTAGCACTAATAATAAAATTAGAAATTAGTTGGTTATATTGTAAAATCACTTAAGAAAAATTTTTGTTAAAGCACTAAAGGTGATTTTTTATATTGATTTTTGAGAAATAAGCAATTTTTGACAAAACGAGCGTTTGTTTTGATCATGTTACATTACACCGGATTCTTGAGATCTGATTTGTGGATCAAGGACCTGCGCCACAATGATCGACAAAACCTGGCACAGATTTTTAAGTCAAATTCTTTGTAAAGTTCAAATAAAAATATATTAAATATGGGAAAACAAGTTATAATATAGGAATTTCATAATGCTACTATAAGGTCATTAAAAATTTAGTATAGTATCAAAGAGTTCATTAATTTTGTTAAACACAGCTAATAGAAAAAAAAGAAAAGGAAATTCATTTTAAATATCATGTCCATCCCCCTCCAAAATTGTTAAACATTTACATCTCTAAAAAGTTCACCATCTTCCAACATTTCCCATTCCTCATCATCCAAAAGAGATTTATCACTTTTAGAACTGCTACCACCTCTTCGTTTATTCCATCTACTTTTAGAAAAAAACCAACCAACACAAGTGACACAGCAAAATGTCCAACATATACCACTAAAAAATATGAGCACCATGAAAAAGTTTAGTAAATAAAGTAACGGACCATCATCAGTTTGTTGTGTTGTGATGGAAGATATAAATCTTGAACGAATCATTTTTATTGAAAGATTGGAGAAATAAAGGTAGATTATTTATTTTTAATAACTTTCCAGGAAAATTATAGTAAATATGAGTATATAGTAAAAATAGAGTAACGTATAGAGAAAGGAGTAAACCAATTTTTAGGTCAGCATGAATGAATAAATCTACACGAAATTTAATGTTTAAGATGTAGTGTGTAATGGTAACCTAACGCTAGCTGTAATATGTACGTACGTACTTACATTCTAGTTAATTTGTGTACTACATTCTATTTTATCGTAAAGAATTCCATAATGAAAAGAAATATACAAATTGTCCTCAAAATTTCATAAAATATATGTATATTATGATACAATTCAATTCATAAGATTCTTTATAATTACGTTATATCACTAACTCATAAACATCATCCCTGAACCTTCATAAACTGCAGCAATTTTTTCAATAGCATTTACAAATGCTGCAGTCCTATAATCGATATTCTAAAATAAAAATGAAAAGCCTTTTGGTTAATAATCAGTAATTAAATTCTAATTAATCAATATTTCCTTCAATATTTCATATATATACTATCTTATTGCCTCTCTTACCCAAATCAACTATAGCTAAATACCCTCCTCAATTACAAGTCTCAATTATAAGTCATTTCATTTCACCTCACTTCCCTTCACAAACAGAAAGTTTTATAAAATAAATCACAAACCTTAGAAATAGATGTTCTCCTAGTTTCTAAACAAGCTCTAATCATAGTATCTTCCAATCCTGAATAGACTAAATCTGATTCATCCGCTCCATGTACAATCTGTTTTTTCTCAGTATCCGATAATTTATGTCCTACATTTCGTTCCACTAATTCTACTATTTGCGATTTACCATATTCATCCCATTTTCTTGTCATTCGACCGAATCTCATATGAGAAAGATTTTTTAACCATTCAAAATATGAAACCTTTAAGAAGAGAAAGGGATTAACATTAAAGTAAGGTGGATTTTTTGCAACTTTTCTTCTAGGTTGACTTACGGTAACGCCCCCAGCATTCAAAAGTAAATCTGGTACAATCAGTATTCCTTTCTTTAATAGAATTTCGTCTGCAAGTGGAGTTGTGGGACCGTTAGCAGCTTCACCAATGATTTTGGCCTTTATTCTATCGGCATTGCGAAAGCCAATCTGGCGTTCTAGTGCTGCTGGAATTAAAACGTCGCATTCTAAATCCAAAATCTAAAGCATAATATTAGAAATCATAATCATAATAGTAATAATAACAATAGCGATATGTTTTTCATAAGTACTTTTAATGGATCTTCAATAATATCCACATTGGGCATTCCACGTAAAGATCCATTAGAGAGTCGATAGTTAAATACTTCATCGATATTTAATCCATTTGGATTATGAACACCACACTCTTTCTCGCCAATACCGATAATCTTGGCCCTAAACCGACATTAAAAATAACTTGATCAATAGAACATTAAAATAGAAAAATAATAGCATATACAATTTTCTAATAAATCTATTCTAGAACACACCCATTTTTTTCAAAAAATTTAGCCGCCCAATAACCGACTTTTCCGAGCCCTTGTATGACAATTCTTAA